TTATTCTCCGTGGGGACTTCCGGCAACAATCTTGATTGTGATTGGCCAGAAGACTCGAAAAACCATCAGCAAAGATATTTTATTGAGAAGATGATCACTACGTGACAGAAGTTTTCAAAACCGTTTATGGTCTCCGGTACTTCCAGTCCAACGCTGACTGCATGCATAGCGTTAGAAAATCGGGCCTGCAAAATAAAAGTTTGGCTTATTCCCTAAAAAAAAAAAAATTCCAATTTTCTTTTCTTCACTCACTCCCCGACCCGCTCGAAACGGGTCCGCCACCCACTTATGGGTCGCGACCCACCAGTTGAGAACCACTGATCTAGTACATCCGTCCAACCGCACATAAATAGAATGAACTGTAATATAAAGATTCATTTTCTCACTACAACTCTAAAACTCATGGTTACAGTATGTGTGCACATTTAGTTCTGTAACTTTGAATATAGTATTTTATAAAACAATCTATTGTTTATTCATAAGATTGACTGAGTTAGTCATATTCTTAGGGTTAGGGATGCCTAAACTAAAACTACAAATGAAAATGTATTGCAAATGCCTATCCAACCTTGTTTGATTTCCCCCCCAATCTTATGTTTGGAAAGACTTTCTGAAAGCATTACTTCCATTGATGTGAACTTCCGGTTTTTATTGTATTAACATGTGCTTGTCTGTTTTTTGTTTTACTCTACTTATTTTGTATATTGCCTTTTATCTGCTCTGTCCATTTTGCTATAACATTGTAAATGTCCCCATTGTGGGACAAATAAAGGATCCTGATCCTATCATTGCCCATTAAATCCAAAATCGACATGCTCATGGTAAAGAACTAACAGCTAAGCTAAACTTTGCCCAAAAGTTCTAAATGTTTAGAATAGTGCATGGGAAATAAAATAAATAGTGAATACAATTGACCTGACGGTTGAATTTTGTTGAAAGCTCCAGTGAGTAAATTAGCCTTGAGATAAAGAGGGATTCATCATCTGTTCCCAGGAAGAAGAATAAACCATCAAACTCTTCATCAGAACATGTAATTGTACTATAATGACTACTTTATATACTTAGTTCGACGTGCATTTAACACTACTTTGCTTTAACTTGTCCCTTTTAAAAACTCAACCATCATTTATTTATTATTTATATAAATCAATTTTAATTACTATGCGTCTCTTTCAATTGTAAACAGAGTTTGTTATTGACTCTATCCCTGTATGGACATGATTGAAAGCTATTGGAATCAATGCAGATTCCATGCACATATTCAAGTATTTGGATCCTGTTGTTTTAAAGAAATGGGAGAAGTAGACATGATAAAGAATAAGGTAATTAAGTATTTTAAATGCATTGTTGTTGAGACCTGGACCCCTCAAATCTACCACACAACAACACACGAGGCCTTCCAAGCCTTGCACCTGTTCTAACGCTCTAATTAAACTAAACAAATCCAAGTCAAGCCTGACTAAACCAGCAGGAGCACGACATCAATGTAACTATTTCATTATGACACTCTGAGAAACGCCGAGACATTCCCAGCCATGACGGGGACGCGAACCCCGCACCAAAGACACGTCCTATTCTCCACGCAGGTCCATTTCCTTGACCGCTTTGATGTTATAGCAGGATTACCGGTGAGCCAACTGCTAACTAGCTTAATTAGCTCCACTGCTAACCTGGCAACACAGCTAGCTTGCCTGGTTAGCTGACAAACCTGCCTAACTTGTTTTGAGGGCGATGCCTCCAGACGAAACTGGTGTTTTTTCCCCATGGTGCAGTTTACCTTGTCGCTACTGTCAGGGTCTCCTCCGCCTCCAACTCGCTTCCTCAGCTCCGTCATGTTTCGCTCGTTTCGCTGCTGGGACGTTAATGTGTCACATAAACCGCCTCCGTCCGGGTAAAGGGGGGAGGGAGGCAACCGGGGATACAAATCCTTGAGTTTTTTTTCGATAAAGTGCTGGATTATTTTCGAACCTGTATTGACTTTAAAGCTCGGTCCGTGAAGACGGTCAGCTTTAATGAAAGTCAGCCGGTGCTGCCAAAGCGCCAGAAGAGAGCTCCATAAGAGAGTAAGGACTGTACTGCGTGTGTTTGTTTATGACCGCAGTCCCTGCTCCCTCCTACCACAGTCAAGCTTTAAATAAAGCAAGATCACCCAGCTTCCGCTTGTAACTTTCAAAGTAAAAACCTGACCAAGGAATACAATGAGAGTGGCAGTGTAGAAGATTACTCCGTTCCAACCATAGATTACAACTAAGATAACGTATTATTATATTAGTAAAAGCACAAAATGAGCGTCACAGCATAATAATGTACATTATATAAGTACATCAAACATATCCGACCTTTGTGTAGCTTGAGTATAGCCTAAACGTATTATTTCCTGACTTTTTCTCAAGAAAACTTTTGTACACTGACTGGAGTCTGATCAATTTCATATTTATTGTTTTTATTAAAGGAAATTATAATTTAAAAAGTCCACATGTTATCCTACCATAAACCAAACGAATGGAAAAAATAGGAATATTCCGAGCATTTCCCAAACTTCTTAACCACTCAGATGTTGTGAAAGCGTAAAAGATTTGTGTTTTATTGTTTATGGAAACCATTAGCAAACGCAAGTAGAAAGTCTACAACTTCCGGTTTGTGTTTCTCTGTGTAACTTCACATAGCTCTGCTGCTCTGGGGTCTCTCCCCCCCCCCCTATCCCAGTAATAACCAGTCTTAACTTACACACACTATTTTATGAACATATAGGTTCACCTATACTGAATTTAAAAAAGAGTAAATGGACCAAATAAATCATAAAGCAAGTCCAGGCAGAATAGATTCACACTTAAAGAATTAGCCCACAGAACAGTACAGTTTACAAAGAAGAAATAAAAACTGACCCCCTTACAAAAAACATTATATGCTCTTATTTGTTTTTTACTAACATTGTAACCTGCTAGAAATCCCACAATTTATGGAATTGTTACACTTATCTGATTACGTCTACTTTGTAACTGTAATGGAATACAGTGAACTTTTTCTTGTATCCTGATTGCGTAATCCTGTCACTTGTAATCTGTCCGTCCCCAAACCTCAGCCTCAAAGTTTGATATTGAAATGCATGATGCAACTTATTCTCTTCCATGTTGTGTTGGATTCAGGGGGCTATAATGTAAAACACATGATCAACATAAGTGTTTTATCATGTGTACTTTTTTTTCTTTCTCCAAACACTTTTGGATTTCTCGAAACAAAATATTTGCGCGACAACTATTTAACACTATGATAGTTATAACAGACCTTGAAATAACAGTAGGAGGCTATTGCTTTAGAATAATACAAATGCAAATTAGCCTTTAGTTTAGTTAAACGTTTAGTTATTTTTTGTTGAATACTGTAGATGCAACATTTCTTATAACAGTTTCTTTCTTTCAAATTAACAATTACACATTAGTAAAGGGGTCTTATTATGTTTTCGGGGG